TCATCAGCAAAAAGTAACTGTGTCAATTCCCATTTTGAATTTGATTCCCCATAATTTAATCCCACCCCTCTCCCAAACACCCTAGCATTTACTTCTTTTACAACCCCATCTATAAATATATTAAACAACCATGGTGACATTACACATCCCTGTCTAAGACCTACTTTTACCGGGAAGTATTCTCCCTCCTTCTACACCCCAAACCTACCTCACTACCTCAAAAAAGCTCTTTACAGCATTTAGTAACTTACCACCTTTCCATATACTTGCAACATCCCCCCACTTGCTCCTCTATCCCTCATCATATGCCTTTTCAAAATCCATAAATCAATAAAAATACACACCCCCTACCCACCTGAAGCCTCCCTGCTCATCCCAAATCCACATCTGCCCTTCCCCAATTCTTTCAATTAAAAAAAAACCCTACCGTAACTTTTCCTGGTATACTCATAAATTTATTCCTCTATAATTTTTACAACCCTTTTTTGCCCCTTTCCCCTTTATAAAAAGGGACTAACATGCTCTCTGCCAATCCCTAGTACCTTCCCCTTTTCAAAAATTTTTTAAACAAAATCCAACCCCCAACCTATATCCTCCCCTGTTTTTAACATTTCTGTTGACCCCATCATTCCCGTTTTTAAACCCCCTTTCTTCTAGTAATCCTCACTACCTCCACCACACTTACATTCCTCTTCTTCACTCCAAAAAAAGGGGGGTAACCCCCGGCCAGTAGAAATTACCGCCTCCCTTTCTTCCTCAACTTTTAAAAAGTTCCTCAAAATATTCTCTCCTTTACCTAATACCCCCTCTCCCCATCTACAACCCCCCCTACTCTGTTTTTTAAAACAAATCCTACTTTTTCCCCGGGTTTCTTTAAATTTTTAACTCACTCCAAAAATTTTTTTTATTTCATTAAAAAAATTTTTTTTACATGCCTCTCCCACCCCCTTTTATCTGCTCTCCTTTTTCCTCTCTCCCACTCTCTTTACCTTTCTTTTAAATCTCCATATATCGCTCTTTTATAACACTTCTGCTTTTAAAAACCTCTTGTAAGCTAAAATTTTTCCCCTTTTTTCACACCCTTTTTCTTTATATTCCCCCAATCACTCCTCTTTCCCCCCCTGCCCCCCCCCCTCCTATAACCCAAACTCGCCCCACATTCAATACTGCATTTTAAACTATGCCAACCCCCTTTAACCCCCCCCCTACTCATCTTTGCATACGCACCTTTCGCCAAAAGTGCTTATACCCAATTCCTCCCCCTTATTTAACACTTTCACCTCCCCCTTTCTTTTGTTGCCACCTTCCTCTTTTCCCCCCTACCTCTACCTAACGTAGCTACAACAAATAATGATCCGATAATCAGTTGCCCCCCTTAAACATGTACAACCTGGAGCCACCCTCAACCTTTTATCCACCAATACATAATCTAACAAACTACTTTCATTACGTGTATATGGAGAGTAAAAGAAAGGTAAAGAGAGTGGTGAGAGAGTGCAAAAGGAGAGCAGATGATAGAGTGGGAGAGGCACTGTCAAGGAATTTTAATGAAATAAAAAAAAATTTTTGGAGTTAAACAAGTTAAGAAAGCCTAGGGAACAAATTGATTTGTCAGTTAAAAACAGAGTAGGGAAGTTAGTAGATGGGGAAAGGGAGGTTTTGGGTAGATGGCGAGAATATTTTGAGGAACTTTTAAATGTCGACGAAGAAAGGGAGGCGGTAATTTCATGCACTGGACAGGGAGGTATACCATCTTTTAGGAGTGAAGAAGAACAGGATGTGAGTGTGGGGAAGGTGCGTGAGGCATTACGTAGAATGAAAGGGGGTAAAGCAGCTGGAACTGATGGGATCATGACAGAAATGTTAAAAGCAGGGAGGATATAGTGTTGGAGTGGTTGGTATTTTTGTTTAATATATGTATGAAAGAGGGGAAGGTACCTAGAGATTGGCGGAGAGCATGTATAGTCCCTTTATATAAAGGGAAGGGGGACAAAAGAGATTGTAAAAATTATAGAGGAATAAGTTTACCGAGTGGTAGTAGGTTGGTAGACAGCAACCGCCCAGGGTGGTACTACCGTCCTGCCAAGTGAGTGTAAAACAAAAGCCTGTAATTGTTTTACATGATGGTAGGATTGCTGGTGTCCTTTTTTCTGTCTCATGAACATGCAAGATTTCAGGTACGTCTTGCTACTTGTACTTGCACTTAGGTCACACTACACATACATGTACAAGCATATATATACACACCCCTCTGGGTTTTCTTCTATTTTCTTTCTAGTTCTTATTCTTGTTTATTTCCTATCTCCATGGGGAAGTGGAATAGAATTCTTCCTCCGTAAGCCATGCGTGTTGTAAGAGGCGACTAAGATGCCGGGAGCAAGGGGCTAGTAACCTCTTCTCCTGTATATATTACTAAATGTAAAAGGAGAAACTTTTGTTTTTCCTTTTGGGCCACCCCGCCTCGGTGGGATGCAGCCGGTGTGTTGAAAGAAGTTTACCGAGTATACCAGGAAAAGTGTACAATAGGGTTATAATTGAAAGAATTAGAGGTAAGACAGAATGTAGGATTGCGGATGAGCAAGGAGGTTTTGGAGTAGGTAGGGGATGTGTAGATAAAGTGTTTACATTGAAGCATATATGTGAACAGTATTTATATAAAGGTAGGAAAGTTTTTATTGCATTTATGGATTTAGAAAAGGCATATGATAGAGTGGATAGGGGAGCAATGTGGCAGATGTTGCAAGTATATGGAATATGTGGTAAGTTACTAAATGCTGTAAAGAGTTTTTATGAGGATAGTGAGGCTCAGGTTAGGGTGTGTAGAAGAGAGGGAGACTACTTCCTGGTAAAAGTAGGTCTTAGACAGGGATGTGTAATGTCACCATGGCTGTTTTAAAATATTTATAGATGGGGTTGTAAAGAAAGTAAATGCTAGGGTGTTCGGGAGAGGAGTGGAATTAAATTATGAGGAATCAAATAGAAAATAGGAATTGACATAGTTGCTTTTTGCTGATGATACTGTGCTTATGGGAGATTCTAAAGAAAAATTGCAAAGTTTAGTGGACGAGTTTGAGAATGTGTGTAAAGGTAGAAAGTTGAAAGTGAACATAGAAAAGAGTAAGGTGATGAGGGTAACAAATGATTTAGATGAAGAAAAATTGGATATCAAATTGGGGAGGAGGAGTATGGAAGAAGTGAATGTTTTCAGATACTTGGGAGTTGATATGTCGACGGATGGATTTATGAAGGATGAGGTTAATCATAGAACTGATGAGGGAAAAAAGGTGAATGGTGCATTGAGGTATATGTGGAGACAAATAACATTATCTATGGAGGCAAAGAAGGGAATGTATGAAAGTATAGTAGTACCAACACTCTTATATGGGTATGAAGCTTGGATTGTGAATGCAGCAGCAAGGAGGCAGTGGAGATGTCCTGTCTAAGGGCAATGTGTGGTGTAAATATTATGCAGAAAATTTGGAGTGTGGGGAAAATTTGGAGAAGGTGTGGAGTTAATAAAAGTATTAGTCAGAGGGCTGAAGAGGGGTTGTTGAAGTGGTTTGGTCATTTAGAGAGAATGGATCAAAGTAGAATGACATGGAGAGCATTTAAATCTGTAGGGGAAGGAAGGCAGGGTAGGGGTCATCCTCGAAAAGGTTGGAAGGAAGGGGTAAAGGAGGTTTTGTGGGCGAGGGGCTTGGACTTTCAGCAGGCGTGCCTGAGCGTGTTCAATAGGAGTGAATGGAGACGAATGGTATTTGGGACCTGACGATCTGTTGGAGTGTGAGCAGGGTAATATTTAGTGAAGGGACTCAGGGAAACTGGTTATTTTTATATAGCCGGACTTGAGTCCTGGAAATGGGAAGTACAATGCCTGCACTCTAAAGGAGGGGTTCGGGATATTGGCAGTTTAGAGGGATGTGTTGTGTATCTTTATATGTATATGCTTCTAAGCTGTTGTGTTCTGATCACCTCTGCAAAAACAGTGATTATGTATGAGTGAGGTGAAAGAGTTTAATGATGATCAAAGTATTTTCTTTTTGGGGATTTTCTTTCTTTTTGGGTCACCCTGCCTCAGTGGGAGACGGCCGACTTGTTAAAAAAAAAAAAGTAACTTAGCTCAAAGAGGCCGTACTGCATAAAACAAGAATCAACTAAATTTTCTTGCTGAAAATAAGCTACCTCAGGTAATAATATAGAAGACAAAAGCACAAAGCATACATAACAGTAACAAGTAAGGAGTACTTTATCAATACCTTTCAAGGAATGCATCTTAAATTACAATAATCTCCCAAAGTTATCAATCACTGGATAATTGATGACCTACTGTAGTACCTGCGACAAAAAAGGAAAGTTTTCCAAGTTCTTCACAATTAGTGAACCTGGTTTTATTGGTCTGACATGTAGGAACCCATAACTAACAAATGAGACACAATGAGCTCATTCTCTTGACTTTAAATATTCAACAAAAAATTTGTTGCCAGATGCATTCCTTATAAGACAATCTACAGCAAGATAATCTAAATTAATTAGACAAGCTACTTTAAGATAACACAGATTAATAACACAATCTACACAATTAAGACAATCAATATTGTTTATTAGCTACACATGCATAAATGCAAATACTAAATCTTGAATAAATATGACAATGTATTTACTTTCATCTACATAGTCTCTGCAATGTGTGAGAGGTTTTCCCATGCACATAGTTAACCTATATATAATGACACCAATAATTAAGTACTGTACATAGTATAAATACAGAATGCATTAAGTATGGTTTGTGTCTGAGCTAGAATGATGGCACTTGGTCATCTTATGTAATAATACTTGGTAATAATTATCTTAAAATGCCATAAAACTTCAATCATTTTTCCTTAAAGGACACTACAATGAATATTTTATTTTAAAATTTAAAACAAGCATAGGTGTACTTGAAAATTAAAAATGAATCCATGTACCATCACTCCCAACTAAGGCAGATTGTATTCCCTCACTTTTGACTATGTGGGTCCTCCTCCTCATCGAAAGGATTAGAAGCATCCTGAGACTCCTGTGGATCGCTGGGGTGTGGGGGAGAGAGGGTGGCTTATTATCAAGGGACAAGGCATAAAGAATATGTAGCTTAAACAATACAAGTGACCAGCTCCCATCAGGTGTGAACAAGGGCTTTTAATATTTATTTGCAAACATGGAATATGGTACAATATTACAAAATAAAATATTCTATCATAATGATTATTACATTAATTTCAATGTCACTACATAACTGCCGAATTAAGAGCTCAATGATGACTGATTATGTTGTGTACTGTACCATGATTACAATTCCAGTTCAAGATAAGCAGTAACTTGTAGCCCATGTTCAACCAAAAGCGACAGAAATTTATCCCTTAATTACTGCAATACATACTACTGCTAGATGAATAACATCTAGAAGCTATTATTTACAGTGTCTAAGAAGTACTTCTGCCATAGGGGAAGGGGATAACCGTAAAATACCAAACACTTTAGGCTTCTTGCAGAATGCTATACAATAAACAAAACTTTAGAATCATCAAAGAGTTGTATACAACAGACATGGCTTTATGAATCATCAGAGAATTGTATACAAGAGACAAGGCATTTATGGTCACCAGAGAATTATATACAAGGCTTTAGGGTCATCAGAAAATTCTATACAATAAAGAAGTCTTCAGGTTCATTGGGGATTTCTGTGCCTTACACAAAAAATGTGAGATTATTATTTATAACAGGAATGATGCGAGTACATTTCTCCCTAATAAATTTTTACTTATATGCAATACACAATTGTAATTTAATTAACCTTGATCTGTTCTTTTTCTTCTGAAAATAATAAAAAACAAATTGGCCTAATAAGAAAGGTATACAGTAAACCATCGATATAATGGATCTCAATGTAACAGGCTTTTAAAATTATGGGCAAAAGACACTGGGTAAATTGTACTTCAACATCCTTTATTTTCAATGTCTATTCTAATATATCTGTAAATTGTGTGTGCAGTACTCTATCAGATATACAGAGTACTTTACTCTTGGTTTTGCTATTTTTAACATTATTCTGATGTGACAGAAGCTCAGATGCTTCCCCCTATTATTTCATCACAGAGGGTTTAATGTAGTTTTTATGAGAGAACGTCTGAGTAATACAAGTTTATCATCTTTGGTTATAATAGATCAACAACAAATTGCAGTTGATAAGCCTTTTTAATCTTATCTATTACATTACTTTTTCATTCATGTCAAGTGTAATTGCACTAATATGCATCATTATTATTTTTATTATTCCATACATAAGGGAGCATTAAACCTGTAAGGATTGTATAGCACCAGAGGAATGGGAGGCAATCAGATTCAATCCAAAGGCAAGGAGGGTACTTCCAATTCTTTGGATCAAGAGCCTATCACCAGCATCAAGGCACCTAAGGGGGATTCTCTATACAAACTAATTTTTAAGTACTTTAGCTCTGATGTAATTTTGCGCATACTTCAGGTCCACAACCCTTTATATCCGAAATTCTGAAATTGGAAAAGTTCTGAAAACTGAAGGTTTTTCGTGGAGTGTCAGTCATCTCAGCGCTGGGTCATGCCATCATGTGGCGGAGTTGAGAATCATTCTGAACTTCAAAAAATTCTGAAATTCGAAACAATACTGGCCCCAAGGGTTTCGGATAAAGGAATGTGGACCTGTATAACCATTAATTTTTCTTAATATTTTTTCCTTCATTGAATAACTATTCTACCAAGGTAATCTCGCATTATAGAAAATATTATCTTTAATTAATGTAAGAAAATTTGGCTGTTAGACAATTTTTGGAGAATAATCTAAACACTAGTAGTGGACATTATAAGCAGTGCTTATCACCCCATTTCTCTATTAACAAAATATATAAACAATAGTGTAATTCTTGCTCTTTTTTTTCAGCTTACTGACTGGGGTCATAACATTTATTTTGTTAATTCTGACTGACATAGTATTAAGTTCAGCTTAAACTTTGTTTTCTATGTAATGTGTCTAACAATTAACATACTATATATGGTTTGTAGTAATACCCATTCACCCATTACTACAAAAAACAAATTAAGGGCATACATAATCCCTAGGCTGAGCAAGTACCATTAAGTACAGTAATGGAACAAACATACGTCAGTGTCATTTTTACCCATTTTGCAACTGCAGGCTCTTTAACCCTTAAACTGTCCAAATGTAGATCTATGTTCATGTGCGTAGCGCTCTGACCTCTGATTTCCCCATTTGAAAGCATGTAAAAAAAAAATGTAGATCTACGTTCGGAGCCCCCCCCCCCCCCCGCACATGGACGTAGATCTACATTTGGACAGTTTAAGGGTTAAATAATACATTTGAGCAGAACATACCTTCAGGGAAGAAGGAGGAAGAGAAGGGGACATACCAAGAACATGCAGTTATATTCAACCTTTTATATCAGGCAAATGACTGTATCCAATTTAAATTTTAGTTAAGCATGAATATGCCATTAGCTACATGGAAGCACTCTAAAGTACTATGGCTAGTCCATTGTACACACTTAACATTTGTTTTGAATTAATGTTAAATAAATGCCATTTGTTGAGATTCAATATTGTGCAAGTTAAACTATCACCTGTCACTACAACAAAAACACATCATTGCAACTCTTCACAAAGATTCTTAATGAATATAGCTATATGCCCCTGGAGACAGTACCTTTCTGTGTGCAGTTGATACAATAGATCATTTATGAAGCACAAAAGGCATACCTGATAGCTGAATGTCTATTGTTCTCAGATTTTGAGGTGGCTGAGGTGTGGTTGGAAGGTCCTTTAACAGAGGTTAGTGTAACATCTCCTCCACCACTTACAGCTCCTTTAGGCGCTTTCTTACTAATGCGGTGAAGGTCAGGTGTGTATTCCTGTGTAGCAAGTATAAAATTAATACATAAAAGATGGAGGCTTTACAAGTATAGTTTTTTTTTTTTTTGTACAGTAACAAAATCAGAAAAAAATGCAATATACAGTTATTATAATCTTTCTTAATACAGTAATTAAATTATATATGACAATCTAATTTCTCAACACAAAATTAACATCTTAATGTCTATGTATACACACAATTTTGTGCCTTTTTAAGTTATTTAATAAATTTGTTTTAATTAAAAAATTTCACCTGACCATAGCTAACTTGAGCTTAAAAGTTACAGAAAGGCAGTATAAGATATTAAGAAAAGGCAACATTTTTGAGTAACTAGGAAATATTCAGTTATTAATATTAAAGTCTGATCACTGTACAACATGCTTATCATTTTTAAAATGTGTAAGTATTTTATATACTGTTAAATACACAATTATATATTTATATATTTTTTACCTCAACAGTCATCTCCCACCAAAAAAAAAATGGTGGCCCAAAGAAGGAAACACATCTACCATCACTCATTCAATTACTGTCTTGTTAGAAATGAGTTGATATCACAATTCAGATTACCATTCAACTGCAACATGTTCACCCCTCCTGCTGAGTGCAGGCACTGTACTTCCCACCTCCAGGACTAAGTCTGGCTAACCTTTTTTCCTAAATCCCTTCATAAATGTTACCTTGCTCACACACTGACAGCACGTCAAGTCAAACAAACCACTTGTCTCCATTCACTGGCCAAATGCCCTCAGACAAGTCTGATGGATGTTCAAGGCCATAACACTCAAAACCACTTTTGCCCTTCCCTCCAACTCTTCCCTGCTTCCTTCCACCCCTATTAGTCATCCTATTCTGCTCCATCCTCTTTAAGTACCCAAACCACTTCCAAAATCCCTTCTTAGCCATCTGAATTATACTTTGGGAACTCTACAACATCTTCCAGTCTTTTTGTCCTGTATTCTCTGCATAATATTCACATCACACATCGCCCTCATGCACGACATCTCCACTGCCTCCAGTACTTTGAAAATCACTTTCAGTTTGGTTATACATATTTTCCTTCATTAAAGGTACCAAATATAAAAAAAAACAGGACATCAATACAAGTCTAGAAATTAAAAAAGTCAGTTCATTCCAACTCCAAGAACTGAAAAGTTTGCCAAAAAAAATAAATTATGAAGTACTAAAATCTTCTGGAAAAGTCATGCGCACAAGCTACCAGACTACAGTACCACCAGCACTACAGTACCACCAGCCCTACAGTACCACCAGCACTACAGTACCACCAGCACTACAGTACTACAAGCACGACAGTACTTCTCTTGCCACCAAAACATGTTTTAGTTTGGCCAGCATTAAAATAGCCTTACCTTGGGAGATGAAGCCATACTATGACATGTGTAACCATTAATGCTATCACAAAATATACAGTTACTAATAATTTTGTTATATAATTTAATACAATATATGCACAAATATAATTATTTAAAACACAAATTTTTTAAAATATTGTATTAAGCATATTTATGCTGTCATTATTCCTTAAAAATATTAAAACTGGCAACACTAGTTTGAAGAGGAAACAGCCATCACATGAAGACAATACATTTACAATACAGGGTATTTGTGTGCCTTGTATTTATAATAATTATTGTTGTAATATTACCATTAAGAAAATCCAATTAGAGAACTTCAATTATATAATTAATGGGTTATCTAAAGTATTCATAATTTCTAACTTATTAATTATAGAAGCAAATAAGCAAGATATAATATACAAATAGATATTAAATTTTTTCAAGAATGGTATCTGAAATTTTATTCTTTGACTCCGTTTATTGTATTTGCAAATCAATAATTTCAAATAAAAATGTTCTCTATTGAGATTTAATTTTAATATGTTTACCTTTCTTACTAAAAAGAGGAATAAACTACTGTCTATATTACTTTATATTTATTTTTTAAACCAGCACCAAGTTACTAACAAGCAGCAGCAGCAGCAAATAAAGCAAGCACTCACCCAATGATGACCCCTAATTAATAGTAACACTAACATCTAGTGAAGTCAAAGATAACACAAATGACTAGTGAAGTCAATGATAACACTAACAACTAGTACAGTAATAGCTACAGAATGTGTAAGAAGACTGTCAATCCTGTTAAGTACGTCAAGCAAAATGTCAAGCCTCTTTATATTAGCATACTGATATATATTTTTTTAACACATTGGCAGTCTCCCACCAAGGCAGGGTGACCCAAAAAAGAAGAAACCAAAGTTTTTCTTCATTAACATTTAGTAATTTATACAGAAGGGGTTACTAGCCTCTTCCCCCCAGTATTTTAGTCACCTCTTACAACATGTATGGCTCACAGAGGAACGATTCTTTTCTACCTCCCCATGGAGATGAAAGGAAATAAGAACTAGAACTATTAAGAAAATCAAAGAAAACTCAGATGGGTGTGTATACATATACTTGTACGTGCATGTGCATAAGTGTAAGTAGCAAGATATACCTGTTATCTTGCATGTTTATGAAACAGAAAGAAAAGACACGAGCAATCCCATGAAAATTTTATTTTAGTGAATTTGTAAATTGTTCAATAAGTAGGCTGCAAGCCATCTACTGCCTTGCAGAAAGCTGAAGAGGAATAATGTACAGGAGAATATACAACAAAGAATATGCAGCAGTGGTTTAAATGCTCTAATAAGTTGACTGACCTGACACACCACTATATAACAATGTAGTGTAGATTAGTATTATTATTATATTCATGAGAAAGTGCTAAACCTTTAGGGGTCAAACAGAAGTTGAGAAAGGGGAGGTAATCAGGTCTGATCCAAGGAAATAAAGGTTAGAGCTGAGTCCTTGGATCAAGAGCCCTTCACACGAGCATCATTAAGGCACCTTCCTCAAAGGGACATGTATGTATAACTGGAGGAAATAAGTGTGTTATGACAAAAAATAATATAGTAGTTATTTGGTATTTTGTCTGCCCACTTCTGGCCCTAAAACACACAAATATAGCTGAAAGATGAATTTATATGTCTTTGAAGTTTTTAAAATATTCACTTGTGGTGAGAGAGGATGGGAGGCAGTCAAAAAAGTATGGGGTAAATTTAATAATGAAGTGTTAGAGTGCACAACATGATGGGTACAGGAGGGTGAAAGTGTGGGAAAAGAGGAACAATAAAGAGGCTAGTAAGTAAAAAGGTTGGCATACGAGAGGTTTTTACAAAGATGTGATATACGGAGGGTAAAGTATATGACAAGTGAGAGAGGAGTTAAAAGAGTGGTGAACACATGCAAAAGGATAGCCAGTCAGAGAGTGGGCAAGACTTTATCAACAGGTTTAGCAGAGAATAAGTGTGTGTTTTGGAGGGAGATTAAGGGGGTTAAGAAAGTCTAGGAAAAAATGGATTCAAGAGTTAAAAACAAAAGGAGGGAGATCTTAGTCGGGAAGATGGAGGAGGAATTGCTAAATGATGATGATTATGAAAGGGAGGCAGTCATTTCATTCATTGGGCAGGGAGGTATAAAACCTTGTAAGAGTAAGGAAGAACAAGATGAAATGTGGGGAAAAGTACGAGAGGTAAGGAGTAGAATGAAAGGAAGTAAAGCAACTCAGATAGATGAGATTAAGACAGAAATCTTAAAAGCAGGTGGGAGTATAATTTTGGAATTATTGGTGTATTTGTTCATCATATGCATGAAAAATGAAAAGGTAACTAAAGCTTTGCAGGAAGCATACATATTTCCTTTGTATAAAGGAAAAATGGGCAAGAGAGGGTGCAGGAATTATCCGGATAAAAGCCTGTTCTGCATACCAGGTATATAGCAGAATTATTAATGAAAGAGATGAAGATAATAAGAGAGAACCAGGAGGATTTATGAAGAGTAGGGGATGTACAGACTAAGTGTTTATACAGAAGCATGTGGGTGAACAGTACTGTGCTTTGATAAAGGTAAGAAACTTTGTTTCATTCCTGGATTTAGAAAAGACATGATTGGGTGGAAAAGAATGCAATGTGACAAATGCTGCAAATGTACTGAATAGATAGTAGCCTACTGAGAGTAGTCAAGAGCTTTTTCTGCAGATAGCAAGGCTCAGGGTAGGGTATGTATTAGAGAGGGATTATTTTTCCATTAAAAGTAGGTTAGTGGGACTTGTCAATGGTCCAAGCCAGACCAAAACATCATTAGCTTCTTTCTCCTACGTGTGGGTTATTTGTGTAAAAGTAGGCCTTAGACAGGGATGTGTGATGTCACCATGATTGTTTAACATATTTATAGATGAGGCTGGAAAAGAAGCCAGTGCTATAAGTGTTGGGAAGAAGTGAAGGATTAAAAATAATGATTTAGATACAAGGTGGAAGTTCTCACAGTTGCTGTTTATTGATAACACAGTTCTTGTAGGAGAGTCTGAAGAGAAGTTACAATAGTTGGTGTAGGAATTTGGGTGGGTATGTAAAAGGAAATTAAAATGCGAGAGTAAGGTGATCAAAATAAAAAATTAGACAATGAAAGGCTGGGTATAACAGTGGAGAGAAAGGGTATGAAAAAAGTAAATGAGTTCTGATACTTGGAAGCAGACTTGTCAAAGGAAAGTTCTATGAAAAATAAGGTACTAATAGAACAGAAGAGGGGAAAAAAGGTTGGTGGTGAAATGAGGCATCATTGTCCATGGAGGCAAAAAAAAGAACTGTACCAGAGTATAGTAGCACCAATACTGTTACACAGGTGTAAATCATGGGTTTTAAATGTTGCAGATAGGAGAAGGCTGGAGGCACTGGAGATGTTGAGATTGAAGATGATGTGTGGTGTAAATATTATGCAAAGTATTCAAGGCATAGATATTAGGTGTGGGATTACTGAAAGTCTAATTCAGAAGACTTAGGAGTTACTGAGGTGGTTTGGGCAGTCAGAGAGGATGGAGCAAAATAGGATGATTAAAAGAGTATATAAATTTAGGATACAGAGGTAAGGTCATCCCAGGAAA